GTGGAGGTTTGAAATAGGAGTTTTCCTTCTCCTAGATGGGCTGCCTTCCATGGCGGACAAGCCCCACCTACCCGGCCTGCTCTTTAATAGTGCGGATGTATGATCTGACCCTTAGAACTTTCCTGCCTCCCAGGTGTATGCAAATCTAATTGGCTTTCCTATTTACCATATTAAGGCCAGACATAGATTTTGAGAATTTCCTAGGGAAAAGAGTCGTGGGACACGCTCTTTTAAAGCATATGCCTTGCAAAACAGACCTTCCCACATCTGATGGGACTCAGCTGGTACTCTGCCCTGGTATTGAGCTGCCATCGAATTTGGTCATTGGGATTCACATCTGCTCAATGGTAGAACACAATGTTTTCCCATGCCAGAAGGCCCCATACTCAGCTCCTGGCTTTTCAAGGTTGGCTAAGAAGGACTTCTGTCTGCAGTGTCAAAGCACTACCACACTACCAACTGGTGCAGACCACTGGTCTTCCGCTGGTGCATTGGGACCTACTGGTGGCTCACAGTTTGCCATAAGGAGGGTTGTGGCTGTGGTACTAATACGACACAGAGTTACCGTGAACATTTCAGTAAAGGTTGAGGACTACCGGTGGAGACAATATTACGTGAAACTGCATGGTCATCAAATTTGGTATGAATCCTTCCTGCATGGAGTTCTAGGATTTTATGCTGTTGGGACGATCATGGAGTCAGCATGGCACATTGCGACAAATACATGCATTCTGGATTTGCATTGTAACCTCCCCATAAGCCGAATCATACCCTCTCCCTCTCTCTCGTTTGTTTTCTTCTGCACAGCCACCCTTGTGTGATTCGTGGCCAGGTGATGACATCGGATGGAACGCCGCTGGTTGGCGTGAACATCAGCTTTGTCAACAACCCTCTTTTTGGCTACACCATCAGCAGGCAAGATGGCAGGTGGGTGAATACCTCCGTTCTCAGCTTGTACGAACTACGTCCTGCTTGCTTTCGGAGCAGCAGTTGGACGCTAGACTTCGAGTTCTTTCTTTCACTCCCCCCCCACACACAGCTCGAGGCAAGATGGCAGGTGGGTGAATACCTCCCTTCTCGGCTTGTATGAACTACGTCCTGCTTGCTTTCAGAGCAGCAGTTGGACGCTAGACTCCGAGTTCTTCCTTTCACTTCCCCCCCCACAGAGCTCACACCCTTCTGCCCACAGTTGACTCTTCCCAAGCAACGTGTTCTTGTCTTGAATTATTGGCTGTGTGTGGGCCCAAAGGCCATGGACTGGAGAACACTTCCAGGCTTCATAAAGGGGAATGCTTTGATGTATTTTAAAAGAGAGAAAAATGCATATATTAATTTCAACTCTTCCTCCCCTCCATACTTCACTGCTCAGCCCCAGGAAGGTAACTTCAAGGCAGACGCATGCTTTGATGAATGGCTAGTTCTCTTTCAGTACTGTGCCATGTCTATAGTTGTTGAGCGTTACTTGACACAGAAGAGGTGCTTCATACACCTTACCGAAGCTCGTAAGAGCTCGTTCCTTTGAGCAGATCCCCTTACCTACAAGCAAAGGAGAGATGCTTCCATAAATGCGTGACTCCCCGTTTTCCAGTAACTTAAGCATTTCAAAGTTTTTTTTAAAAAAAGCGACAGCCTTTTCTGTTCTGTTTTGTACCCCCCACACTTCTGTTTATTACTCAGCCTTGGCCTGCGGCTGCTCTCAAAAGTTTGCCAAATGCTAACTAGCTGTTAAAAATGCCCTCATCAAGGCTTAAACGCTCACTGTTCAGTTTGTTGGCAAGCAAGAAACAAGGTTTCTAAAAGCCAGCAAGTAGCCAGTGTCTGGGAATTTGATGTCTCTGTTTGAATTACAGAATAAAAACACCTCATTAAAAAAAAAGAAGTAAAGATGTTTTGGTTTACCAAGAGAATGTTTATTTATTTATAGGGCTTATAGGCCTCCTGATGTAGTGGAACATTACTTGGGGTGGTTTATATACAACTCTGCTGTCCACTGCATGCCATAAAGGATGGTCTAAGGCATAGGTTCCTAGACTCAAAAGGAGTCTTGCATTTTCGTTTTCATTGACCGCCATTACATTCTGCAGGGCAAACTAAATTTGCAGTTTGCAACACAATCAATGGGAAGAATCAGACCCCTGCTCTGGAAATTTTGGAGAAGGAGGGAGCCCGGAATACACAATCGTTCTCTCTTACTTTCCCTGCTCAACATACTGACAAGCCTTTGACTAGTAAACATTAGTGAACACTTCTGGCTATTTTCAGTAATGTACTATTATTACAGATTTCTCAGAAATGCTCACTGGTTTCTCTAGACACTAATTAGTTTGGTCTTCCATTGAGGCCATACTACCATACTTGTGGGTCACTAACTGAAAAAGCTTGGATAGAAACATTTCAACAGTAGCATAATCAGTATGGTACAGCATTATTGTGTGTGGAGCACTTTTGGAGAAGAATAACTGTGAGCAAGTAAGTTTGTTTTCCTTAAGCAGAAGAATTGGTTATATCATCCCATAGAATTAAGGAGGAACAAATTACTTCCATTGTCATTTGTACAGAAAAGAGTTAAAGCACAGAGAGAGCTTGTGGTCCAAATGGTAGTGAGATCACACTGCTTTGTTCCATGGGCTTTTCAAAATTAGAAGCATAGGATGGTTTATTTGTGTCTTTTTAAACAAATCAGCTCAAGGGTGGCGCTGTGGGCTAAACCGCAGAAGCCTATGCTGCAGGGTCAGAAGACCAGCAGTCATAAGATCGAATCCACACGATGGAGTGAGTGTCCGTCGCTTGTCCCAGCTCCTGCCAACCTAGCGGTTCGAAAGCATGCAGATACAAGTAGATAAATAAGGGACCACCTTGGTGGGAAGGTAACAGCGTTCCGTGTCTAAGATGCACTGGCCATGTGACCATGGAAGATTGTCTTCGGACAAAACGCTGGCTCTATGGCTTGGAAACGGGGATGAGCACCGCCCCCTAGAGTCGAACACGACTGGACAAAAATTGTCAAGGGGAACCTTTACCTTTACCTTAAACAAATCAGCTAGTCCTCACGTGCCTCTGCTTTGCTTCACAAAGGGAAGAGACACTAGTTTTGTACAATTTTACACACACCTTTCCCAGAAACTCATACCAGGATCAAAAATTGTTGCCAACAATGATTAGGTCTCGCTGAGAATGAATCATTCAGTACTATTTCTTTACAGCTCTGCCTCTGATGTTTGAGGGAGGGAGGAAAAGCTGAAAACGGGAGACAGAAGCTACAGGTGCTTAGCTCTCAGGTTGATAATGGGCTTTCATAAGACTTTTTTTAAAAGATCGTATTATCCTCCAGAGAGGAAACTGTCTATTCTGTTTTCTCATAACTTAAGAGATTTCTCATCATCCTTTACAACCCTGGAAGGTGTTTGCTTTAGAGACCTAGAGATACCTCCACACACTTATATTTTCTCTTCCTTTCACCACTGTGGATGGAAACATAGAAAACATATTTTATACTCACTCTCCAGGCTCTATGGCTATTTGCTGTTGTCATTTTAGAGGAAGTGGATTGTCTTGCCTGAGGCAATTGTTTCACCTAAAAATTGCCTGTGGTTTTTAGCAGTGCTTGAAGTTTTCACTTAATTTTCATTTTTTTTTAAAAAAAAAGACACACATTTTGTGGTTTCTGTCAACAGTTTTGATCTTGTCACTAATGGTGGGATCTCCATCATCTTGCGTTTTGAACGGGCACCCTTCATTACGCAAGACCACACCCTCTGGCTACCCTGGGATCACTTCTTCGTCATGGAGACCATTGTCATGAGGCATGAAGAGAATGACATTCCCAGCTGCGACCTGAGCAATTTTGCCCGGCCTAATCCTGTGGTCTCACCCTCCCCTATGACGGCATTTGCTAGCTCCTGCTCCGAGAGAGGTCCCATCATACCAGAAATCCAGGTAAGGAATGGAAATAGAGGTATATATCTTGAGGGAGGGTTCCCATGCCCATTCTCCTCAACACTGAATTGTATTGTGGGTGTCAGGACTTAGTGTGAACTTTAGGGAAAAAAATTAGGAAGACGCTTTGATTGAAGCCTAGGCTACTATACTGTGACTCAACATTTTAGAGAATTAAGAGCCATAAATAAATGTGATGTGTGGAAGCAGGCATATCTGGTTGCTGACCATTCTGTTCAAAATCATCTCTCTGAGTGGTTTCAGCCCTCAAAGGGGAAAAGATGCATGAGCAAATGTCTTCCCCCACCCCAAACATATGTGGAGAATATGAAACCGGTATACAGTAGGGCGCCCCCTTATCCACAGGATCAGTGTCTACTGATTCACCCAGGGTCTAAAAATATTAAAAGAAAAAAATCAAGGGAAAAACTATTTTCACATGTATTACCAGACCAGACCACTAGAGGAAGCCATGAATACTTGCTAGGGAAGAATACATAGCATGGTCTCTGGAGCCTCTCATGGCCAGTTCTGGTAATGCATGTGAAAATGATGTTTTTGTCTTTTCCTTTTACTATATTCTGTGTGTGTGTGTGTGTGTGTGTGTGGCAGGTGTGTGTGTGGCGCGTGTGTGTGTGTGTCTGGTTGGCTGTCTGGCTGTCTGTCTTCAGGGAAGATGGGGCAACTGGCTTGTATTTATAGGTGTATGTCCTCTCCAGTACCAGGGACAACATGCCTCAGTTTGTCAGTTACTGGAAACACAAACAAGAGAAGTGCCAATGCACCTGTTTGGTGTGGCCTATGGAGAGCGTTGAGGGAGCCTCAAATTTGGCCTCAAATACCCCCAGAAATTGCCTACCTATGGTTTAGGGCTGGACTTGATGGCCTTATATTAGTCTTTCACAGGAAAGTCATCACCCCGATTCCTATGGCACCTGGAAGACTAGCATGTTTTATTTAGCATCATGTCTTTTATGGACTACGCCTGATATGTCGTTGCCTGTGGCCCACACATGCTTATGTCACATGAAAACTCCTCAGTCTTTCAAGGCCACTAGACTCTTGCGGATCCGAGGCAATCTTCCCCTGGTTCTCCACTGCAAGAGGGAAGTTCTCCTGCTCCAGCTTTGCAGGACATACAATCAGGGAAGGCACCCAAGGTTGCCAGAACAAGTCTCCCCTCCCTCTCCCCTGAGCCCTCCAGCCGTGCTTTGGCAAGAGAAAGATGCATCCTTTCAACTACCACTGGGAAGAATGCCTTGAAAGCAAGAGCAGTTCAGCAACAGAAAGGATGGCTTCAGAAGGTGGTGGTTAAACTTTCCTTCAGTGTCAGAGATGCTCCCCTGATGGACTTCCTGGGTCCGCAGGGAATTGACTGAACGACCACAATCCTACAACCCTGACCAGCAGCATTCCTGTGATTGAAAATGACTGAAGACGAACCACACATTCCCGGGTAATGCCGCTGTTCTGGGGTGGGGGGCACGCAGTGTCCCAGGATAGTCCTGCTCAGACAAAGACTCTTCGGCAGGTGAAGCCCCTTGGCCTGGCCTTGGACAGAGAGAGTCCCCCAGGCCGGCCGGCCAGCCCTGCCTTGTGCCTCTGAAAAAAGGACAGCTTGTTAGGGCTTTCCCATCCTCAAAGTCTTCCTTCTTGAACGCCGATTTCTTATCATTTTATTTATTTATTTATTTACTTACTTATTTATTTATTTACTTATTTATTTATTTAGTTAACTTATATGCCGCCCACTCTACCCAAAGGTCTCTAGGCGGCTTACAACAATCAAAATACAATTAAAATACAATAAACAGATAAAACAATTAAGATACAATTAAAATAGCTACTCTAAAAATTGCCATCAGGACCCATAGTTGATATTATTTCAATTAAAAGCCTTCTGAAACAGGAAGGTTATGACCTGGCACCGAAATGTCATCAGCGTTGACGCCAGATGAATCTCAATTGGGAGGGCATTTCATCGTCTGGGGGCAGCTGCCGAAAAGGCCCTTTGTCTACAAGCCGT